TTATCATATATTTTTATAGATAATCATAAATGATGACCAATCATTATTTGAGGGACAATTCTGACTATTAAAAATTTAATAGGATTTGAAAGTCTAAAAAATTTTAGTTAGAACTTAATAAAATATAAGTTCGTAAATTAAAATTTGTGTGTAAATGTCCATTGTTTCTAACTAAACAGTAGACTAAAATTCAAGTGGTGTAGATCCTAACAAATACTAAGGCCAAGTTTGGCATCTCTAAAAAAATTCAAAAAGACAAAAAGTTACTAAAAAAAGTTAAAAAATTATCACTATTCACAAATTAAAAATATAAAAAAATTAATTTATTACATATTTTAATATAAAGACGTGACTGGTACTGAGCAGGAGATGGAAAGACTGTCAAATGAGAAAAAAAAAAATAGGTATATAATTTATTAAATTGGAGGGTAATGTTGGGCTAGTGGGGGCTCACCATGGGTCAGTTTTGATAATTCAAACCGTTTAATGTGTCGAACTCGTCGAGTACTATATGTCTATAAAAGATCACGTTAATCGGATATAGATAGCTACATGATTAAATAGTTTTGTATAAACAATAGATGATGTTATAGTTAATAGTTGACAAAAAACTAACACGATCATATAGTTATTGATATTCGACCAATAATAGTTGACAAAAAACTAACACGATCATATAGTTATTGATATTCGACCAATGTGATTTTTTACAAGCATATATTATTCGACGAGTTCTATATATTGAACGGTTCCGATTAGCAAAACGGGACCTGTGGTGGGCCCACACGGGGCTGAACAATATCGTCCAATTCAAGCCCGAAAAGGAGACAACCATTTTCCAACTCCTAATAGCCGACCACACTGCCTTAGGTACTGTACGGCTACTCAATCACTTCTCCTATATATTTATTTATATTATTTTTTAATACATATTTTTTCGTAAAAAATCAAAAAAGTTAACCTAAACATCTATCTTTTTTTTTTTCCAACTTTTTAGTCTAAAAAGACAAAAAGTGCTCTTATTTAGTACACCCCAAACAACCCCTAAACTAATCATTCATTGTTCAATCTAATTTGAAATAAGGGCGCTCTTGGACAATTATCTTTGTTTCTTTCGTATATACTTGTTGGCTTTTTGGCTTTTCGAAGGGTATTTTGGTAAATGTGAGCGTGCCAGCAAGGATCAATCAGTCCTTACAGAAATTGTGATTGCCAACCAATTATCAGACGATTGTGTTTTAGTTCTTTTCAGCCTCAATGAAGAGGACTTTTACTGGTGGCTTGACTTAGGAGAAATTAAGAGAAATAACAGTAATACGAAGAACAATTGAAGTATTTCATAAAAATGAACACTTACAACGGTCCGAACTCAGCCTCGGAGAGGTTTACAACAGCAATCTACTTGAAGCTACTCCTATGAATCGAAGTGCAGTGCGAGTATTTAAAGTGCAGGTATTTAAAGAACAGGTATTTAAAGACTGGAAATGTAAAAGACTGGAAAAGAAAATATATGAAGTAAATGACTGATTCGTATGATCTGAGTCCGTCCTTTTTTCTGGGGGCTGCCCTGCTATTTATACTCGTCAGTGATGACCTTCGAACTGCACTTCGAACCGTCGAACTGCTCCTCCATGATCGCTGATCATGCTTCCTTACAAGTAGCTCCATTACGCCATTACTGGCAGTTGAGCTTCCCTCTTGTACTGGAATTTGAATATGAGTAACCGTTGAAGACACGTCATCTTGCATCCCGTTATTTGATCTAGTGTTACTCAGATCATGTGAGGACCAATATTTATTGCCACGTGTACGACCAGGATTAAGGGCTTGAATAACCTTCCTTTATTACCCTTACTATGCCACGTGTCGAACTGTAACTGGCTTTTACAAAATATATAGCTAACATTACCCCCCGCACTAATATACCCAATACTTGGTGATATTAGTGGATTGCAATTTTCCCGCGCTTCCAGAACGTGTATGAAGTCCATATTCTGGAAATACAACCGTCATCCATTTGGTGATCATTTGCATTAACTCGTCGAACATCCCAATACCTTAGTATTCGAACAGGCTATGGCTGCATCAACTTCCCTTACTACTGATCAAGCATATGAAGAGCCTTTGAGTATCGTTATTCCTCCTCGAAAGAATCTCCACGCATTCATTAGCCACATTTACCCGCCCTTCTCTATTCAGGTAACGGAGACTTTTGCAGATTATAAACCTTAGGACTATGAACACATTGCCTTTAATCCCTTGGTTCACAAACTTACAGATACAAAGAGTTCTTCCCCTAAGCTCCCTTTGTATTCTGACCGAACTACCCTCGAGCCTTTGCTTCGACAAGTTGCAAATATGGATCTAGGAAACTCTTCTTCACAGACCTCTGCATGGGATGAAACTGTGACCTCTTCATCCTCTGGAGCTTCTGGCTGGACAATCTGGTCCTCTCCTGAGACTTATGATCTAAGGGAGCGAATCAATCACCATTTCATTGAATTCACTGACCCTTTGGAATTTCCTTCCTACGCTCGAAGTTCAGTGGTCTATCCTTATGTGCCCATTGACCAACGACGTAGCTTGGAGGAGAATCTGCTTGTGGCTTGGTATACTTCTTCCATGCCTACGAAGATAATGCATCCTGCCCAACGTTCAGAAGAAGCACAAGGGTATACCCCTTCATTCTTAGCCAAGAAGGCGAAGATTTGTTCTTCTGATTGGCTTGACTACATTAATGCCTTTGTTCCTTCTGCTCCCGTGCCATCTCCCATAATAGAAGCATCCACACATTCTTCTGCATCTTCTGAGATAAAAACATCTACTCCCTCCCCTTTGTCTTCTGAAGCAGAGCCATCTACTCTCTTCCCATCTTCCGAAGCAGGATCATCTTCTCCTTCTCCTTCTCCCATCCTCTCCTGGACAGAGAAACTAAGACTTGCCCTTCCAATGGACAAAGTCTTTCCACCTTACCAACCTCCGTCACCCCCTTCTCCAGCCGAGCGAAAGCAAGCTCAACTTTTGCTCGCAG